TCTTTTTATGATCTAAAGATGAATTCTTTCTGCTTAAAATAATCAATGTTTTTTTAAAAGGAGGATTGATGAAACTGATTTAGCCAACATAGGTATTAGTCACAGCTTATATAGGTAGCCACTGCTAATATAGGCATTAGTCACTGCTTACATAGGTAGTCTTTTATAGAATTTGTTTAATCAGATGTTCTTTTAAAAAAGAGGAATTGATTCTGTGAACATAGGCATTAGTAATTTTTCCAGTAAGTGCCCTCCCAGTATCCCTCAGATATCCAATAGTAAACAAGAGCTAAAAATAGGACCTATAAAAAGAGTCTCCCTAACCCTGTATAACCCTGCTTCAAAGATGGTTTGGGCTCTCAGTCTGAAGCCACTGCGATGGTGACACCTGAGAGTCCAGGCTCCAGCTTGCAATAACCTCCTCTTGTAATTGCATCAGACCTGACTCCTTGGTGGTCTTTGGGGACTTCGCGACTTGGGCATAACATTTGAGGACTCGTCTGAGATCCCCAAATTCCCCAGGACTCTCTCCAGAGGAAATCAGCTGGCAGAACGTGCACCTGTGAGTCTTTTGCTTTGTTTCTTGTTTTTGTTTTTTTGTTTTGTTTTGTTTTGTTTTTTGTCTTTTGTCTTTTTGTTGTCCATGTTCTGATCTGAAACCCGCAGACCTTTTTATGCTGACTGAGTTGTGGGCCGACCGGCCTATGCAAGTCCGACTGGTGGGGTCATGAAAGACATTTCCGATCCTACTGAATCAGAATCTGAGAGCGGCATTCACTCACCTGAATCTGAATCTGAGAGTGATTACTCACTCAATCTGAATCTGAGAGCGATCACTCACTCAATCTGGATCTGAGAGCGATCACTCGCTCAAATCTGAATCTGAGGGCAATCACTCACTCAATCTAAATCTGAGAGTGATCAGTTGCTCAATCTGAATCTGAGCTCATCACTGTGATTTGCGGCCTCTGTGTTTTATGTGTTTTCTGTGATTGTGTGTTAAGGTAAAGTGGGTTGCTCCCACATAGACATAATAATTGCCTCGGTTTTTGTTTTGGATCCATTTGGTGTCTTTCTCTTTGTGTTCTTTGTGATTGTGTGCCTCTTCATTTTTCTTTGTGTGGACAAAGACGGATGTAATTGACAATGGATCAAATAGATAGATGTGACAGAAAATAAAATAGTCTCAAATTATGCTATAATTTCCCCTTTTCTTAATGATTGAACATTTTAAAGAAGTGAAAGCGAAAGCTCTTGGTTTGTCTGTGGAGGTAAAAAAGGGAAGTATCAAATTATGTGAGATTCACTCTAGATTTATATTGTTGTTTGAGAAGATTTGATAAATAATCACCCTTGTTGGTTAAAACATCTTTTGCCCTCACAGCTGCTGGAGCCAATATTGGTTACCAAAGAGAAGGAAAATCCTGAAGATCCAGCTCCAAGAACACCCCACTAGGTTGCTTTTTCACTAATTTTAAATTGACTTTTTCCCTGAGCAGAAAAATGAATAGAGTCATATTCTCCAGTGGGAAAGAAGGAACTGACAACCAGTATTAAACCTTAGACCCAAGTCATACTGAAAAAGGTGGCTGCCCACCTGCTTGGAAGGGAAGAGGCACTCCCCAGGATTTCCTGGGTTCCCTTTCTAGGACATGGAGGCCAGCTCACTGGTAATGGAACAAAAAGAAGTTGAATAAGTAAAATCCTCTGTCTAAATGGTGAGATCCCCTGGGTTGTTCCCTAGTTTGTCTTTGAAAAGGGCCCCAGGGAGGGAATATATTAACCTCTTGTGTGACTGTGTGTATGAAAGAGACTTGGTTAGGAGAGTGAATGGAACAAACTACAAAAGCCATAGCTAGCCTCATCTGTGCACCAAAACAAAGGGAGGAGGCACTTGAGCTTAAAGAGCCCTCCCGGCATTGAGGAGCTTGTGTGGGTCAGTCCTGCGAATCTGTGGCTGTGCTTAAAAGGACATAATGGAGACTCTTGCGACGAGAAACTCTCCTCTTGTCTGAGTGGGCCTGAAAGAGCTGGAAAGCACAGAACCAGTCTGACAAATGAGACACCCCCACCCTTTGTTTGTCTTGCATCGCGGGACAAGGGAATATTTAATGGTTATGAAAAATGTTAATATTAAACCAACTGTTTTTAAGTATATAATTTAGAATTTTAATAAAAATTTTATGGGGGACTATAAGATAAAATTGCAATCAAAGATGTTTTAAAAAACTTTGTGAGTTATCATGATCTCAGCTAAGCCACACTTTGCCCCCAGAACAACTCTAGATAAAATGGAAGTTATCTGCTTTTGTTTTGCTTATCTGAGGCTTCAGTAATTTGGAGTCTAATGTATTCTAAGAGCTATTCAAGCTTCTGCTTCATGGTAATCAGTTATTAGTGCAAACTATTTACTTTTAATAAATTTGCCTCTCAGAAACTGTGACATTGTTGCAGGCAAATCCCAGTGTTTCCCCTTTTTGGAGAAAGTTAAGCTGCTTCCCTCTCCCAGAGTTGCTAAAATTGAAAGTATGGAAGAAATAAAAAGTAAGAACAAAATTGTTTAGCCCTTTTACACCAGAGGGTACAAATAAAAAAATATATGTTAAACATTTTAATTATTTGATAAATGTATCTTTGTTTCAATTTAAATTAAGTTTAATTGGTGTGTTTAAACTGTGCATTGCAAATTCTTAAATTATAATTGTAAGGGTAATTTGCTCTTTTATATTTTGTTGATAAAATTCAAGGTTAATACTGTTCTATGGGTAGCAAATCAAATTTTAAGATGTAATAATCTGAGAACAGGAAAAGAACATTTTAATATTTTAACAGTTAAAGTTTGTTATAAAAAGTTAATACTAAATGAAATAGAGGAAGATATTAAGAAAGCTATGTGTAAAAGAGATATACTTTTGATATGAAAAGGTTTTGTATGTCTTGTTAGAAAAGATATGAAGAAAGATGTATAAGACCAGAAGACTTAAGTATGCAGAGAAGGTATGTGGAAGTGATTAAATAAAAAAAATGTATGTTTGCTTGTTGGTTTCAAGTTTGTTATAGAAGGTTTATTTTTATAGTAACAAAGAGTTTTCATTTCTTTTGATTATAATTCTATAAGAGGCTTTTGTTAATTGATCTGCAAAAGCTTTGATTAGTCTGAATTAAAAGAGATTTTAGGGCTAGAGATTTAGCTCAGTGGTGCTGTCGCCTGCCTTGCAGGCACTGTTTCATAAATTGTTTTATATGTTTGTCTGTGCCCGATTGTTTAAAAGGTGTTTGTCCAATTATATTTTGAGTAAAATGATAAAAAGGATATTAATAATTTGTTAATTTTTATAATCTGGTTTTATAAGTCAAAATTTTGTCAAGATAATTAAATATAAATTCAGGTCTAAATAGACTTCTAACAATAGTAAAAAGATAGATATTCAGAAAAGTTTATTCTGGTCATTATTTACTAATGACCTTCTGAGAAGATGATATCCCCAATAAACATGGTTAAATCTGTTATTATAAAATGTTTACATTGGCTATCATCAAAGAATTAGATTCTAAATATGTTATTGTGATGTGTTTATAATGCTTATTTTCAAAATAAGATTTTTGTAAAAAAAATAGATTGAGGTTCTATTAAAATGTTTTTAATACCTGATTAGATTAAGGGGCCCAGAAAGACAATAATTATTATAAGATAAAGAACAAGAGTCAGCATTTAAATAGCCAAAACTAATTTTGCTGCCCCCTGTATCAGGGATCCTAAATGTGATCCAGCCTTTTAGTTTGTATCTGATTAAAAAGAATTCATATTGCTTTAGGGGTGCTCATTAAAGTAATAGGCCCATAAAAATTAGCCAATGATATATTTATCTTAAAGTTTAGATCCAGCTGTAAAGAGATAGCTCTTTGTTTAACCTTAGGAAAAAGTAAATTGTTTGGTTTCTTCATGCCTTTTAAAACTATTGAGTAACAGGACATTGATGGCTCTCAAATAATAGAGTCACATAATATCAGGCCCTCATCCATGAGAATCCCCACCTATATATTGTTCCAGTTAAAACTTTAAACCCTGCTACTTTTTGCCCTCAGAACCTGGCCCCCTGATCACAACTGCCTTGGGGTCACTGAAGAATTGTTCTTCAATCATCTAGATCTGCAGAAAGACCTGCTGCCTGTGGCTGACTTTGTCCTGTTCAAGGATGGGGACAGCTTCATGGAAAATAGGGTATGCTATGCTGGCTATGCAAAGATGACTCAAGATAAAGTGGTCCAAGCAGGACCCCTCCCCACTAGATTGGTCAGCTCAATGAGCAGAACTGTGGGCACTCATACAGGCTCTCTTATGGGCAAAAGAAAAGAGCGTTTATACAGATTCCTGATTGCCACATGGTATATCTGTGGTGCAGTCTATACAGGTATGGTCTTCTCACAGCAGAGGACAAACATTAAAAATAAACAAGATATAATATAGTTATTTAAGGTAATGTAAAAATCTGATAAAATAGCTATAATAATTCAAAAAAGAGATATAACAACAAATAACAATGCTAAGATAGGCATATGAGCCAAAAAGATAACTAAACAAAAATTCTAAATGATTATACTTACCCCCTATAATGGGGTTATATTTTTCTAGATGGCCTGGGGCCTTCCCTATAAAAATAAAACAGGCTTCCAAAATATGTAAGATCTTATTAGAATTTGATAGGCAGTGATCATGAATAAGCATTTGTAACAGAAGTGATACAAGATTTAACTCAGGTAATGGGGGCCAATTCAAATATGAAGTTCAAGATAAATAGAAAAGATGAATAAAACCCTAAAAGAGACCTTGACTAGATTAACCTTGGAAACTGGTGATAATTGGGAGTCGCTCCTCCCCTTTGATATTGTATTGTTGCCCACCCCCACACCTGTCACGGTGGACAGGATTACTGCTTGGATTCATCATTCCCATGTGAAAAAGGATGCCAACCCATGGCTGGCCCCTCAGACTCTGAGTCCTTGGAGATCAATCAAGGATCCCGATAACCCTCTGATACCCACTGAAGCTAAGAATTATTAAATCCTAGTTTTCCTAATTAAAATAGTCCTCCCTGATATGGGATAAACAGGGCTAGGAGCAATGACTCCATCAACCTATATTAGATTTTCTAGGTTTAAAATTGCTATAGTTACTTGATTATTGGATCTTTTGCAATAGTTTCGGGGCTTAAGAATGCTTGGTCTATTAATGGTATTTATTTTCCAAGTGGTTGCAAAGAGCCATTCTATCAATCCTCATGAACTCCAAAATATCACCTGGATGATTATTAATGCCTCCACAAGAAGGATTATAAATACTACTTCCCGCGGGGCCCCCCAGGGGACTTGATGGCCAGATATTGAATTTGATTTATGTAGGTTGGCCATAGGGACCTGGGATGTCGGCAGTTGGGATCTCGATTCCCAGGGAAAGCCCGAATATGGTGACACAGGAAAGGGATGCACCCTTCCCCCAAGGAGAGGAGGACCAGGATGTGGGCACCTAATGGATAGGGCAAAGCTTTGTGACATGTCCTTCTAAGTTTGCCCGGGAGGCAGAAGGTCCTGACAACAGATAAAAAAGTGGTGGGGAGCTGAGCATTTTTATTGCCAACAATGGGGATGCGAATCCACCGGGATGATCTATTGGAACCCCCCCTGTAAAAGATGATTTGATAATAGTTACTAGGGTACCTCAGGCATGACTAGATTCTAATCCCCTCTATGGAAGATGCTCCTCTTTCCTGTGCAGCCCCATCCGGGTGTCTTTCACTGCACTAGGAAAACAATTTCCTAACTGGAAAACTGGACAAAATTGGGAATTACGGTTATATCAATCAGGCTATGACCAAGGAGTCCTTTTTATTATTAGACAATTTGAAGAGCAGCTTAGAGTTACTAATGGTCCCCCCTCAGTCACTGGTCCAAACTCAGTCTTAGTCTCTTGATCTAAACCTGTTTTCCAACCTACAGGTTCCAGTTTTAACTCCACTACAAAACAAGAAAAGAAAAAGACTGGTATGCTGTATAGTCCAGGAGCTACAATACAATCAAAGAAAGAGGGGTCTTTTCAGTCACAGGCACCCCCCCAGATACTAATCATTCAGAAATAGTCAGAGATTCTATGGCTAAAAGTAGAAAAGGACTAGAAAGAGAAAAAAAGGAGAGAACACAGAACCAAGGATGGCATGAAAGTTGGTTCACATCCCCCTGGCTTTTAGTCCTTGCCAGATCTCTAATTTTAGGTTTAATTTTGCTTATAATAGGATCTCATGTAATTAATAAATTGATTGCTTTTATTAAGCAGGAAACAAGTTCTGTACAAGTAATGATACTGAGACAACAATATCAGCCTCCCCATGAAGACGAAGAACTCTCAAGTGTCCAGGAAGAATTATAATGCTCCCCTCCTGTTTAATTTTCTTTCTCTTAAAGCTATGAAACTATTGGGAAACACCAGATTCTGTCCTACAGGAGGCCAACCAAAATGACTGAAAGCCCCTTTGGAGTGCACACCTTAGGCGATCGCTTCTTTGAAATAATAGGAAGATCAGAACTCCATCCATAAGCCAAGTACCTGTTCCATTGGATCTGTCCTCAAAAATCATGTCTCTATTGTGCAACATGGCAATATATAAAGGCCCTCAACCCACTCGTATAAGAGATGCTGCTTTGCTCCCAGGATATTGCCCAAACCATATAAAAGAACAGTACCAAATGGCCTCCAAGCCTGATTGGGCACTTGGTGGCATAAGATATATCTGGTTTCCCCCACAACTGGCCATCAACTTATTAGTTCATTTGTTTTGTCATACCCCCACAGTGCCAAGGGGTTCATGTACTCGTTTCTGGGAGTCAGCACAACACGGGTTGCTTCAGGAGTCACTTGATCATTACCAATTATATTGGGTTATTGTGTTCCTTGATTCTTTAGAACCCTGTGCTCTAAAACCAAGGGTCTCACCAATTTTTAGCTCTTTCCTACAAGAATTCAAATCTAGATATCTGAGAGATAAACCTAGTCTTTGGCATTGCTGTCCGCCTAACAGATATTTTCTTCTTGTTTCTCCAAGGCCTCTCCAGGAGCTAGCAGTTCAACAATTATTTGTTAATGCCAGGCAAAAAGCTGAAATTAAACTGGAGGCCCAACTGAATTGGGACTGGCACTGCAGGCATAAGACCAAACCACAGGGATCCAAGAAAAACAGAAAAAAGAACTACTGCAAGAAAATACCAAGCTGACTGTGAAAGTTGCTGTTTTGGAGTTAAAACTTGAAACCTGGCATTCCAAATATGAGACTCTATGGACTGAGGTTGAGGCTCCCTTGTTGATAAAACAGGGTACAAAAGTTGAATACCTTGCCCCCTATCCTCTCCTCCCTAAACAAGGACACGGACCTGCAGAAAGATCCCCTTCCCCCTAGGTTCCACATCGCCCCTTTCAGCAGGAAGTTTTATGAAGACAACGCCCTAATTCCCATGATTGGGTCCCCAAGGTCCTTGAGAAGGGGGGAATGTGAGGACCAAGTTTTCAGGTCAAGGTGGGCTCCCTCTGCACCCTCTCTATACACCCCTAGCCCAGAACAAAGCTGCAAAAGGTCCCTTCTGTAAAATTCCATTCTGTGTGACAGTCTCCCTGTGTTTCTGTTCCTCTTTTTAGGGCAAGCTGTCTTAGGGCATCTTTTTATGATCTAAAGATGAATTCTTCCTGCTTAAAATAATCAATGTTTTTTTAAAAGGAGGATTGATGAAACTGATTTAGCCAACATAGGTATTAGTCACAGCTTATATAGGTAGCCACTGCTAATATAGGCATTAGTCACTGCTTACATAGGTAGTCTTTTGTAGAATTTGTTTAATCAGATGTTCTTTTAAAAAAGAGGAATTGATTCTGTGAACATAGGCATTAGTAATTTTTCCAGTAAGTGCCCTCCCAGTACCCCTCAGATATCCAATAGTAAATGAGAGCTAAAAACAGGACCTATAAAAAGAGTCTCCCTAACCCTATATAACCCTGCTTCAAAGATGGTTCTGGGCTTTCAATCTGAAGCCACTGTGACGGTGACACCTGAGGGTCCAGGCTCGAGCCTGCAATAAACTCCTCTTGTAATTGCATCGGACCTGATTCCTTGGTGGTCTTTGGGGATTTAATGACTTGGGCATAACAGTGCACAAACCTTTTTAACAGTAGATCCAGCACCTGCTGCATGGTCCCAAATGCTTGGTAGCTTTGCAAAAATTTATGGAGGAACAAGGAGTTCCCTTGAAGCAGGGATGGCACAAGATGGTTGACCATGGTCTCCCTTACATCATTCTTCAAAAACTCAAAGCAAGCTTGAGTATTCAGAGTCAGACTTGACTCCTTTTCACCCACGGGTGGGACCTTGAAGGGAGGTTAACATGGAAACAATAGCTGTATTAATCACTTATTTGTCCCTGGGACCAATACTCAACACAACTTAAGAAGAGGAGAGGCTTATTTGGACTCAAGGTTTTAGAGAGTTTAGTTCATGGTTGGCTGGCTTCAAGGCAGAAACAGCACGACCCAAGGGCGTGGCAGAAGAAAGCTATTTGACCCCTGCAGCCAGAAATCAGAGGAGGAGGAGAAAAGGAGACTGGGACAAAATGCATCCTCCAGAGTCACACCCACAATGACCACCTCTTCCAATCGGGCCCCAATTCCTAACAACACATTCAGCTTTGAGAGTCATCAGTGACTCCAATGATCCATTGATGAGTAAGTATGCTGCCCACAGATCTCATCACCTTCCAAAAGCCCCAGCTCTGGATACACAGCACATTTAGGGTCATTTTAGATTTAAGCCACAACCTCAGAAAACTGTCGAATGGTCTGCCACATAATGACATGAGAGCAGCACAGATTTTTTGTTGACACTCACTCATGTGCTTGAGCACACACTGATACACATACACCCAGGGAAGGTTTGGACACATACAGGAGGGATCAGGGCAGTCCTCTGGCCTTGGCTGACCTGCCCTCGGCTACTGTGTTTCCCACTTTGACTCCTCTCAGGAAATGGCCACAGGCGTCTTGTGAGACGGGGGACCCAGTTTCTCCAGATGTGGCTGAATCTTCCCCTGCGAGATCTCCTGAGGCCTGAGCCTTGGGAAGTTGGGAGGCAGCAAGAAAACATCCTCACATGTCCTGCGTCTCCAAACTGTGAGCAGGTGTCAGTTAGTTGTGGTATGTGTTGCTTGGCAACAGGGTTCTGAGCAATATTTCATCATGAAGGAAGTGAGGTCATCTACTGGGATCTCTTCAACTGAACTTTTCCTCACACTTGACTTCAAACAATCTCTGGGGCTGCTGACTGCCCCCAACTCACACTCAGTATACAACCAGACAGAGTGACCAAAAACACTTGGCCCACCCTCCCCAGGCAGGTCAGGGGTTTGCCAGCACCCCAGGAAACTGATGGACCCTGCTGCTCTTCCTTAGGGTTAGGTTTAGACATTAGTGTTTAGGGTTAAATTTTGTTATGAGGGTTAGAGTTGGTTTTAGGGATTGGAGCCAAGGTTAGGGCTTAGGGCTCACAGTTAGGGCTTAGGTTTAGGGTTCAGTGTTAGACATGATACAGGTAGAGGGAGGTGTAGGTGTTAGGTCCTGGTGTAAAGTTTGTGTTTTATGATTAAGGTTAGGTTTGGGATTAGTGTTAGATTTCTGGGTTGTGGTTTGAGTAATTGTGAAGGCTAAATAAAGGTTTAGTGGAAGAGCTTTGTTTAGGATAGATTTAGGATTAGAAGTTAACAGTTTCTTTTATGTTACTTTCATTTTTTTCTCTCATTGGGTTTTTTGGTACATTTTAGGTATACAGTACATTTATATTCATCATTGGATCTTGTATCTTTACATGACATGTCTTGGTTCTCATGTTTTCCCCTTGTCCCTATTTTAGGTTACTTTTAAAGATTAGAGTCAGGGGTTAGGATTAGGATTACCTTTATAACTAGCTATACTTAACAATAAAGTTAGAGGTTTCATTAAAATGGGAATGTTCAAGATTTTGGACTTTCAATAATTCTTTGTGATATCTAAAATTTAAGTCACCCCCCACAAAACCATAGAAATATCTAAAATCATTCATAGCTTGCTGCCATTTTTCTGTATTCATAATTTCTGCCAAGCATCCTCATGGAAATTGACTTTTAATACCCTTTTAACTTTTTCTATTTTAGAAAGCATCTTTCTGAGATAGTGAATCATCATAGTTACAAATTCTGTTTATGTTTTTCTCTTCTTTGAATGAATTTTTGTGCCAAATCTTTGCATGTGTCTGTTCTGCAGAAGTATGAGCGTAGGAAGTATGTAAAAAACAGAAACTAAGTGGTCCATTTTCAAGATAAAGAGGCTAACTCTGAGTGGAAAATTACTAGCGTTAAAATTGCCTAACAGCCTGTGGATACAACAAAGTTCATACATCTAAAAGGTCCTTAAGCAAATGGGAGCTTGAGGTAAAGATAAACTGGTAAGGCAGATGAGAAAAATAGATGTGAATGGAGAAGGGGGAAGACAGGCACAGAATGATCCATTTTCATAATAAGATAGCGAGGGCTAAGTGGAAACATAGCAACTGCAAGGTCACATAAAATCTCTAAACAGGAACATTTGCTCCTCAGAAAGCCCCAAAGTACGGATGGTATTATGAAGACCCCAAACTTGGATTGGGAGGGGAACCAGGAAACTGCCGTAGTGGGAGACAATGAAACATAGGCGATGTGTGGGAAAGGCTGTACCCCTCATGGTACTCAGCCAGTGAACGGGAACTGGGGACAGGGACTTGCATGCTAGGGATAGATTCCTCACTGTAACTGCCCTGTATATGTCTGCCTGCATAGCAGACACTCAGCCTTGCAGGACTGACAAAAACTTCACTTTTGCTGCTCTTTGTTCATTCCTTGGTGCTGGGCAAGTGAACACAATTCTTACAAGTAAAGACCAAGTTCTCTGGGTCAGTGACAAGGAGTCAAGTCAGCCACTGAGCATGACAATGGGTCCCGCAGACCCATTCCTTACTTTCTTCTGTAAATCTGTACTTTATATAATAGTAGCCAGCTGCACATCCCATTACCTTTCCCTGAGGGATACAGGACACACACACAATCTATGTGTTTACCCACTTGGTATGACAGATGGCAAGGTGTATGCACATATGTAAAAGTGGCAAAATGGCATCTTTACCCGCATTATGCTCCACCTGACTCATTTTGCATACATTCACCGGAACATCACAGAAGGTCCAATAGACCCAGACCACTCCAGGATTTGTATAAAAAAGAGTTTTCTTTTGATTTTTCTGGTAGAAGTAGCCCAATTCAATACAATGAAGCGTTTTAGTCTCTGGAATACAAGTTATGTTTTCTTTTCTTTCTTTCTTTTTTTTTTTTTTTTAATACTTGGGATCTTGGAATACAAGTTAAATGTGAAGAATACTTAACTGGGTGAAAGTGAAGGTGTTTGAGAAAGACTTGGGTAATGAATTCTACCATGGCTTTTTGGAACCCACAAGAATTAAAACCTAAATCAATTTCCTGGTTTCCCAAGGACTTCTGATTATTTTTTTCTTCTTCTTTTTCTTCCTTTCTTTTTTTTTTTTTTTTTTAACTGAGGGTTGAATCCAGGGCCCTTGCACTGAGCTATGTTCCCAGAACTTCTTTTGTTTCTTTTTGGTACTGGGGATGGAACTCGAGCCATTGTGCTTCAAGGCAGGTGCTGGAATCACTGAGCTAAATCCCTGGCCAAAGCTTTTTTTTTTTTTTTTTCCAGACATAGGCTCACTAAATTGCCAAGATTGGGCTCAAAATTGTAATCCTCCTGCCTCAGCCTCCCAGAATACTAGGATTACAGGCATGCACCACCATGCCTGGCTAGGACTTGCTCATTTTTATATCCTGAGATCTCCAGGGAGCAACTCACCCTGTCCTCCATTCTATAATGATTTATAATTTTAACTATCATTAATGAGGAGGCCGACCCCTCACATACAGTCTTCAGGTACCTCTGTCTCACTCACTGAGAGAGGGTCGCAGATCCTAGAAGCTGCTTCAGCCCCTCTTTTTTCCTTGATTCCTCTTTTATATGCACAGTAACCGGAGCCACAGGGAAAATCATTGGTCCTCAGCTGCCGCCCAGCTTTGCTCAGCAGAACCCAGCTTGGTGATGTTCTCAGCACCCAACTACCCTCCGTGTCCCAGTATAACATCTCCTCGGCCCACCACAAGACATAAATGCCTTTGATTACCTTTTTGTGGACAAGAAAGTGGTGATTACTTCCTTAGAAGTTCCTTTGGAAGACATGCTTTTGAGTTGTCCACCTGTCAGGTACAGAGGCCCACAGACAGAGTTGACAAAAGAGTAGAAGCACGAAAGAAATTCTTTAAGAACTGTAGAGGAGAAGGTTATATGGGGACATGGATTGGAATAGGAACCTCAGCTGTGGTTCCGCACACAGAGCCACAACTCAGAAGTTCAAGGCTGCAGTCTTGAGAACCATCCAATAACATTCTCGGAAAAGTTTGTTTTGAGAAAGTAAATGAGTAACTACAACCAGGTGTTCATAAAAAATATTTTCTAATGCTTTGCTAGAGATAATCTGTAAAGAACTGTTTACTCTCATAAAAGTATTATGCATGTATCTAATAAAAACTGAGGTTGGTAAGAGTTGGCTGCTGTTTGCCTGTGAGAGCTTCAGCCCTCTACTCCTCGGCAAAACTACATTCCTGATGTCTGGCTGTCCTTCATGTCCTGTACGACAACAAAGAACATCTCAAGTAACTTATTCTACAGTCATCTTTGGTGTTAAAACTCCATGTCCCAAATGACAAAATTACCTATCCTGAAGTAAACTGTGCTTATACTGAAGTTTCTAAACAAAGTTACAGGGATGACAAAAGAAGAGGGCATGCCACGGCAGAGTGTTTAAATACAGCAACTCTAACCATAGTAAATGCTATACTGCACACCAGTGCTGACCAATCAGGAATTGAGCAGCACACACTGAAGTAGTGAGAAACAATGAGATTTATTAAAAGAAAACACACTCCACAGAGCTGGAGTGATCTGATGAAAAACTCAAGAACAAGTTTGATTCAAGGTATCCCTGTCCGATTTAGGTTTTGAGGTATTTATTGACAGACTGTTTCTTGGGTCTGGGGTGGCACCAAAGAAGATTCTGTCTAGTTAACTGAAAGTCTCCACTCATATGTCAGGAGAGGATGCTTTTTACTTTATATGGACCTGGACAGCCTAAGCATGGTTACCAAAGCCCACCAGGAGGGGCAAAGCCTCAGTGCTAATGATATTATAATGACCATGGGGTTACTCTTAGTTCCTCTGAAACAGAACACATGCTCCCTGGGTTCATGCCAGAGGTCAAGGAAGTGTGGTAATGGCAGGAGGAAAAAAGTGGAGGTTAACGTCAGGATGTTAAGGAAATATAGTGAGGAGCTCTTTTGGTCTCTAAGAACCAGAAGCCATCCTGTCCATCGTGAGCCTAAGGCAAGGGTATCTCCCACACTATGTCCTGCCTCCATAAGACTGATAAATACAGGAATGTAGCTCAACGGTACAGCATCTGCCTGGCAAGTGTGACTCCCTGAGTTCAATTCCTGGTACCAAACAGTAAATCCAAGAATGACATTGCTCACAAAAGCATTGTGTACAAGAAACTGGATATAGATCTGAAGTGTCACATTAGAAGAAACCTCATATAATCCCTGCTACCAGGTGGCTGGTTAGTCCTAGGAATCAGAGTACAATATCAGAATGATATTATTACTCAGGTTCTGCAGGTGTAAGGCGGGGCACTTATCAAAAGCGTATCCAGCTTTTTGGTCTCGGCAGCACAAGCGAGATGACGAAGGGAGCGTCATCATTTGGAAGGTGTCCTAATGAGATGCACACATTGTGCCACCACTGTGGCTCTGAGGCCTACCACCTTCAGAAGTCGATGTGTGGCAAATGTGGCGACCCTGCCAAGCACAAGAGAAAGTACAACTGGAGTGTAGAGGCTCAAAGGCAAAATACCACCAGAACTGGGAGAATGAGGTGCCTAAAAATTGCATCTCACAGATGCAGACATAGATTCCGTGAAGGAACAGCACCTAAACCCAAGGGAGCAGCTGTTTCAGCATCCACTTCATCCTGACAATTTCAACGATTACTCAAAATAAATGCTTTGGTTTTAAAAGAAAGAAAAAGTGTATCCAGATCAGCCTTGACCAGGTAAAGTCCCATTGCTGAGCCCCTTTGCAATCTGTCCTCCTGACATTATGGGCCTCTGTCCATCAGTCCAGTGAGAGCATGAAGTAGCTTGGGGAAGCAAGGGACTGGCATTCACAGAAACAGCTCCCTCGTCTTGATAGTCACACGACTATGATGCTCACAGACACAGTATGTAGGACAAGAATGCCTCACACGTTGACGTTACTTTATAAAGGTTCATCTAATTTTCTATTTTGTAACTGATCGTTCTTAATATTTCCTTCCCCCCTCTCAAGTCCATGAACATCCAAACCATTAGCTGTGAATAGATCCCTACTTTCTGGACTACTTTTCTTCCAGGAAAATGAATAACTAAACACACTGCTTAAAGCTGTGCCTGTCAAGAAGCTGTTTCTCCTTATCACCCTTCAGGATCACCTGGAGGGACTGACTCTACTACAATGCTGTGTTCATCCTCTCCCGGATGATACCAATATATCATCAGAGTAAATGCTTTTTCCCCAGTCAGTTGGTCATAGGAAGCTTCCCATGGAACCTAGGTGAGAAAGAAAGCCGTTGTGGACATTTTACAATATTACACACCATTGGAGATGTAAACTCTGGAGTGGAGAAGGGGAGAGAAGTCAGCAAGTTATGGCTAACGCTGGGGAAACGTGCCAGGAATGAGATAGGGTTTTTATTCATGGTCCTATTCCACAAGAGAAAATCCAAGTTAAGTAATTCATCCAGGCCACCCAACTAGCAAGTGTGGGATTGCAAAACTGAGTGAGCCGTCTAGCTCCTGAGTCAGGGCTCTAAACCACCACTGATAACCCTCCAGTCCCTTAGCAATTAGAAATTTAGAAAAGAAGGGAAAATGATGTTGTGCACTTGAAATCCTAGATCTCAGGAAGCAGAGGTGAGAGGATCACTGGATCCCACAAGTCCAAGGCCAGCTTGGGCAACGTGAAAACATGAATCTCAAAAAGAAAAAAGAAAAGAAAAAGAGGAAAAAGCAGACCATTGACAGAATGGCAACTGCAGTGCGGCTGTGATGCTACCAAGGTCCTTTGGCGCCATCTGCTGTTGGTTCAAGGCTGGCTGTGGAGAAAACTTTCCCTCCTAGCTGGTGGAGCTTTCACCCTCTTACTGAAACATGCAAACAATGTTTCCTTCTCTGTTTCCGGGTCATTCGAGGCACCTTTATGTCTTGGATTCCCTATCACTATCTTATGTGTTCATATAGGAGAGCATGTCGTTCAAATGACAGGTGTGAACGATTAAATTTTGAACACACTAGACCTTTAAATGCAGCTTGCATTTCAAAGAAAGGCCAGAAATTCTCGGTTGCATCAGATTCCCATTTTATTGATATAAGAAAGACTGTTAAGCACTCATCACACGTGGTGGAAGGATTCTTACCGGCTACTGCAGTAGGTCCCTACACTGGTGATCCTAAATAAATCATACACCCTGTCCACATCCCAGTGTGTCATTTCTTCTCTTCCTGTCCAGAGACAGAGTCTGTTTCTTCACACCCTTCATTTGGGGGTTGGGCTGGAAGTTCGCAAAATAAATAACTTTCTTTGACCAATAAGGGATGGCAGAAGTGGGACCGTGTGAGGGCTGGGGATTTAGCTCAGTGGTGCTGCCGCCTGCCTCGCAAGCACAAGGTCCCGAGTTCGATCCCAGTACCCAAAAAAATAAAATAAAAATAGAAGTGAGACTGCGTGACATCAGAGACTTGGTCACTTCAAGCCTGTGGTCCTGCTCCATCCCATTTGGCCACCATGCTGTGACAAAACCCCCGCGAAGTCTACCAAAGAAGGCGGTGCCACCTGGGGTGGGCCGAGGAGCCTTACCCACAGACAGCCGCATTGTGATGCCCATCCTGGGACACCACCACCCCGCCTGACCTTTTGGGTGACCACAGCCTGCCCCGTGAGCATTCCCAGGGGGTGGCAGCAGCAAAGAAACCCAGACTGCCAACCCACAGTCATCAGAAGAAATTGTTTTAAGCTATTATTGGGTGTCTTTTTTTTTTTTTTTTGGTACCAGGGATCAAACTTGGGACCTTGTGCTGGCAAGGCAGGCAGCAGCACCACTGAGCTAAATCCCTGGCCCTTGGGTGGATTTTCTACAGCAAGAAATAACCAGCCTGGGGATTTGGTTCAGTGGTTCTGCCACTGCCTTGCAAGCACAAGGACCAGAATTCGATCCCCAGTACCAAAAGAAAACAAAAAGAAATAAGTAATATATCTCCCAAGGATATTTAAATACCAAACCAAATTCTGAGTGTCTTCACTGTTCAGAAAAACATCTCTAGTTGAAAAAAAATCAAAGTACTGTATAATCTTATCATTCTTACTTTGCCCAAATATGTTAAACATTTTAATATCCCCTGTGAACTAATAGTTCCTAGACTAACTCTTAAAATGATTATTTTCTACTGGGAAAGAACTTTTCGAATGAAACACTGGGTCACCTTGAAGTATAAATTCTTCCATTAAAAGTAAATACTACACTAACAAAAAAACAAATACAGGCCAATTTCAAACAGTGGAACAAACAGAAAGCTCCAGCACCAACCCACACAGCCCTCCCCGCCGGGCTCCCCTCCAGTCCCACTGGCTCTCCAGGGCCAGGCTGGCCCAAGAGCACCATGTTGGGCCCTGGGCAGTGTCGCTGCAGCCTGAGGGTCCATACTTGTAATTCTCGATGCAGAGTGAAAACACAGATTCAGAGTGAAAACCAGCCCCATCAGCCACTGATTCTCAAAAGCTGGAGGCAGCCCCTTCCTGTTCAAAATGCTTCAGTTGAAATATGTGAAGAGGAGGAGTCTAAGAACCCCCTGCCCAAAAGGAGCCTAGTCAAACACCAGCTTCCAAGGAGGTGACAGAATCCAGCTCTTGCAAGTTTCCAGCTGGAATCAAGATTATTAACCACCCTACCATGCCCAACACACAAGTGGTGGCCATCCGTAGCAGTGCTGATATCCAGAGCATCATCACAGTACTGACTGCCAAAGGAAGGAGAGCGGCAGCAGTGGGCCCAACAAATTCATCCTCATCAGCTGTGGGGGAGCCCCAGCTTGCTCTCCAGGACCGCAGCCTCAAGCCCAAAACAGCAGTGATTCCAAGAGTACAGAAATGTTCATCAAGAAAAGCCTGCAGCTAGGAATGTGAATGTTTCTCCAGGACACTGGCGGGAGAGCTGTGCCGGCAGTGAGGCAGCAGGCTGCACTCTGGACAGCAGACTCACCTTCAGTGGCTCAGGAAGATGAGTTCTGATGGACTGGACTCCGGCAGCATCAAGCAGGAAGTGGAGGAGAAGGAGAACTGTCACCTGGAGCAGAGTCAGGTCAAGGTGGCGGAGCCCTGGGGAGCAGCAACACCCTGGCAGGACTGTGTGTGAGAGGTTGCCCTACTCCTCCATGGCCATGACACAGTTCTCCATCAACAGCACCGAGAGGAAGCCCAGGACCCTGAAGGACATCTACACTTGGATTGAGGATCACTTCCCCCATTTTGAGCACATTGCCAAGCCAGGCTGGAAGAATTCCATTCGCGACAGCCTTTCCCTCCACGAGGAAAGACATCTGTTTGTTCGGGAGACATCTGCCAATGGCAAGGTCTCCTTTTGGACCATTCACCCCAGTGTGAACAGACTCTTGACTCTGGATCAGCTGTTTAAGCAGGAGAAGCAGCCAAATGCTGAGCTCCACCAGAATGTGACCCTCAAAACTGAACCCCCAGGCCAGGGATTTAGCTCAGCAGTTTGGTGGCCTGCCTTGCAGGCGGCAAGGAGCCAAGTTCAATCCCCGGTACCACAAAAAAAAAAAAACTGAACCCCCTCTGGGCGCACAGTGGAAGATGAAGCCTCTGCTGCCATGGGTCACCTCGTACCTGGTGCCCATCCAGTTCCCAGTGAACCAGTCTCTGTGTTGCAGCCCACAATGAAGGTGCCGTTGCCCCTGGTGGCTTCATTCATGAGCTGAGCTATCCTGCCACAGCAAGCAAGTCCACATTACCCCCAAGGTACTGCTGGCTGAGGAGGGCATAGCCCCTTTTCCTGCTGCTGGACCAGTGAAGGAGAAATCCCTGCTTGGAACTTTGCTTCTGGTTCAGTCTATCAAGGAGGAAGGAACATTCAAAATCATAGAGAAATTTGTGTGTTATTGGAGGGCAATCAATCCTCCAAATGCCTAGAAATGGGGACAGTGAAGGCCAAAGACAGACAATAGACTTGTGTAATTTCAAAGTATATGGGAGGCTGGGGGGTCAGTGCTTCAGAGTGGACAGGCTGAGCTGGCCCTCATTTACTGGGTACACACAATTATTGCAGGGAGCATCAGGTGTCTTGGGAGCGGCAGTCATCCTATGCTGATGAGGACCTTATGCTGATGAGGACAGTAAGGAGAGTGTTCCTACAATAGTAGAAGCTAATAAAGAATTTGTCCCTCCCTCAGGTGAAAGCTTTCTTTTTTATGACTACTTGGTTCTAAAAGTATCAGGAGGCAAAACAGTTACGTTTCTGCTTGTCATAGGCAGTCGCAGGTAAGAAAGCATTGGGCCATAGACAGCGGTAGTCATACTTTAATTAGGAAATGGTTTTTCCCAAAAAATTATGTAGAATGGCTCTTGACAGTGTTGTTTTATTTTTCTTGTTTTTCTTATTTCCTTTCTTCTTCACCAGTTTATTGGGGCTGGGAAATTTTCCTTTTTCCTTTTTCCTTGCTTTTTATTTGTTACTTTTTTCTTGTTTTATTTCATTTTTTTTCTATGCCGTTTTTAACTCTCCTTATAATTTTTTTCTCCCTTTTTCTTTTAGTATGCATTTCTCATCACTTTTTATTACCTTTACCTAACCATATAAACATCTTTCTATTCCTCAATAGGACTTTCTGTCCCACTTCTCTCTCCTTCTTACACCATATAGTTTAAGTTTCAAAGTTTTCCCGTTGCACTCCCATTCCCAATAGTTTTACCATAAACCTTTATTAATCTTAAGATACTCTATAAGATTACTGAATTCTTTTCTACCAGTAGTGCAGATGTAGCTGCTGCACTTAGTATGAATTAGCTGCAAGTCAGTAACTGGCTTGTCTTGGTGTTTACACCATAATTATGGATTTCCTCTCTGGGACTAAGGGTGGTGCACAACTGGTTCATATGGTAAGTTAATATCCAATTTGTCTTGCATGATACTATTGCCAACTGGTTTGCTTGATATTATCAGGGTCACATAATTGCTATTAAAGGGTTTTCTCCATAAGTAAACACCCAGATTACCTTTATGACATTAACAATACTAGAGTACATTTCCAGAGAACTCAGTGTTAAGCCAATTACACTACATTTTCCCCTCCCAAATTAATACAGGTTGGACAGAGGCAAAAGACTACAGTTAGCCACACCCAAAATACATCACTGAAGTAATTAACTACAGTAGTACCTTGGTTCACTATCTTGATTCTTCCCATGATTCTTGTTGCAAACCAAATTGGATGAAAACCAAATCAAACTCAATGGTTAGGCTCAATGGTTGACCTTATGGGGAAATTTGATTCTGTTCTCACCCAAATCAGTTTGCAACCACTATCATGCAAAGAATTAAGTTCATGAATCAAGGTACCACTGTAAAGAGATCTCTATAGTAGCAGTAAAACCTTTACACTGTAAGCATCCACAAACCTCAGGACAAAACTAAACCGGTCTACTATGCCCTGGGCCTGTATTCAGCCACTCCTGCCTTCCTGCTGTGCACATAAACTCTGAACGTGGGGCCACAGCCTTTGCATTTGCTCCTCAGGTCCTCCTCAGGTCCTTGCTCCCTCCTCAGGAACCCCACAGCTGTCCGGTCATGGTGTCACCTGAGGGGAACACCCTTGGCCTTCTGACCACCCCAGTGCCCCCACCAGCCTCCCTTTTCACTCAGAGTTAGCGCCACCTTAATTTCTTGACAGCATCTGCTCACACTTGCTGTGTGTTCTCTTCCCCCATTAGCATGCGAGCTATGAGAGCAAGGACCTTGTCCAACCTGTAAACTGTGTCCTGATGCCTGGAACGGGGCTTGGTCCATGTTGGGGGCTCAGGAAATGCTAACAGAATCCCATCAGATGTCCCTGGTGCTGATGCTGCAGAAAATCACCTTCTAGGACATTTTCACCTGCTACCAAAGCAGGCAAGGCAGATGAACCTGGAGACTTAGCTTAAACCAGGACTTGGCTCAGTTCTTCAGCCATTCCCTCGGCTGCCTTTCTTCTTTGTATCCCTGTCGTGGGGAAGCTTAGGCCTCCGCCTGCCCAGGCCACTTCCAGGCTTATGGCTTTGCACATTTTGGAGCACAGGACCCAGGTGGCAACAGATGCCACCACTGCCTCCTGCCCCCTACCCTGGTGTTTGAAGTTTCTGTTCTGTAAAATTATCACACTGAGTTCATACCAAAAAAAATTTGGAAACTATAAACAAGTATAATGAAGGAGAAAGAAAATCACTACTAATTTTAACATTTTCACCACATTGAGATATTTCCCTCTTTTCAGTGATTTTCCTTGAGATAATCTGTAAACAATTTGCCATCCTTTTCCTGCCTCATTATATTGTTGGTATTTATTATCACCGGAAATTGTTTCATGAGTAAAATTAAACCATCAAGGCAGTTTTTACACATTTTTTTCCATTCTAACACCTATCTCCAAATATATGTTTCAATTTTTTTTTTTAATTTTCCCCCACGCCAGGCATAGTGGTACAAGCCTGTAATCCCAGCATTTGGGAGGCTGAAACAGGAGAATTAGAAGTTCAAGGCCAGCCTGGGCTATATAGTGAGTTCAAGGCCAGCCTGAACTGCACGGTGGTCTCAAAAAGCCAAATTTTTTTTTAATTATCCTCACAGGACAAATGCCTCCCCATAGGACCTCAATAAATTCCCCAGTCTGGCCTCCAATTTGTGATCCTTCTACCTAAGTCTCCCCAGAAGCTGGGATTACAGGCCTGTGCCACCATGCCCAGCTCCCAGATGCCTGTCTCAGTATGGTTCTCAATACAATTCCTGGTAAGACAGGACAAACATAAATGAAAACTTTTATATCTAAGCATAAGCACAAAAAAAAAAAAAAAAAAAAAAAAAA